ATATATATATATACACATAAATATATTATTATACGCATTACATTCCAATAAAAGTAACAAAGATTAAGGGAAAAGACGAACGAAGGAAATATCCTTTTTTTTTTTCCATAGATTCAACGAAATTGCTGTGTCACGTGTCTCTTCTTTCCCCGAATAGAACATAGTATCGCTGATATTAATGGAGATTGCGTTGGAAACTCGCTGAGAGGACATTGCTCGCGAAAAATTGATTTCAATAATTCAATGAAAATCTCCAAAAACTTAGTAAATTTATTGGTATTCAGAATAAAGAATTGTGGTTAAAAATCAATTCCATTGGTTTTATTTCGTTGTATGAAACAGCAGCGATGCTGTACTTTTTCAATTAGATGCCTGGCATAATTTCATTATGCAATTCATTGCATATTGAAACATTTTATAGAATTGTGATTACTGATTATTTTACAATTATTCCTAAGGACCCAATACGTAAAAACCCCATAATTAAAATGATTGTTGCCTGTATTAACACAGATCTTTATGGTAATAGCGGGAACCATTCGTCGTTGCTATAGGTTTCGGTCGCATTTACACCGTCAAACGCACATAATTTTTCTTCTTCATACAATAGATTTGTAGCTTAAAGAACGTAGATTAATCCCCTTATATTGATAATAACAATAAATTAGTAGAACACTGTTAAAATCGCATTTATTCACAGAATACCACTACTTTTTGGCTGGTGGCGCCATCCGCGGCAATTCGCTGAAACTGGTAGCTAAATCATACCGACAGGTGAGTGAAAATTTATAGTGATGGAAAAATGCGAATAACTCAGTAATTAAGCGTTCAAAATGAACACTATTAGTTTCAAATTATTCCTGAGGACTGAATGCATCGACCCAATACTGCAAAGCCCCAGAATTAGTACAATTATTTATACCTGTATTAACGTTGACCTTTATGGAGCGGCAACTCAAATTGCAACTGATTTCGATTGCATTTACACCGCTGAACGGTCATCATTTTCCTTCATCACGCATTACATTCGAAGTTTAAAGAACGTACATTAGTACTTTCTAGCGGCTGAAAACCGGTAATTACAAGAACATTGTTAAAATCACATTTATTTGTAACGGTTGACACTGTATCTCGCGATGCGTAGCCCGTTTAGTTCACTTTAAATAGCTCTTCCAACGTTCTATGGACAAGTTACGTCTTGATCAAGCATTCAGTTTGAAGCTAAAAGAACGTAGATTAATCCACTGTCATTGAAAATAGTAGTGGTATTCCGCGATTAAATGCGATTTTAACAGTGTTCTGGTTGTTTATTGTTATTTTCAATGACAGCAGATTAATCTACGTTCTTTTAGCTTCAAACTGAATGCTTGATCAAGACGTAACCTGTCCATAGAACGTTGGAAGAGCTATTTAAAGTGAACTAAACGGGGTACGCATCGCGTGATAGAGTGTCAACCGTTGCAAACAATTGAGATTTTAACAATGTTCTTGTAATTACTAGTTCCCACCTGCTAGAGAGTACTAATCTGCGTTCTTCAAACTTCCAATGTAATCCATGACGAGGAAAACTGATGCTCGTTTAGCAGTGTAAATCCGATCGAAATATGTGTCAATTACATAACCACTAAACAGGCAACACTTTTCTTCGTCATGCATGCCATTCGAAGTTTAAAGAATATAGATTCGTACCCTAAAACAGCTGATTCGTCTTGACCAAGCACTCGACTTGTAGCTGAAAGAACGTAGATTAATCTCCAGTCTGTGGCAATAACAATAAACGACCAGAACACTGTTAAAATCGCACTTTATTTGCAACGGTTGACACTGTATCTCGCCATGCGTACCCCGGTTAGTTCACTTTGCACAGCTCTTACACCGTTATACGGACAGCTTTCGTTTAGCTGAAGCACTCAATTTGTAGCTGAAAGTGCATAGATTAATCCACTGTTATTGATAATAACAATAAACGACCGGAACACTGTTAAAATCGCATTTAATCGCGGAGTACCACTATTTTTTTGAACGGTGGCACCACCCGTGGCAATTCGCTCAAACTGTTAGCCAAATCATACCGACAGGTGAGTGAAAATTAATACGGTTGGGAAAATGCGAATATCTCAGGAATTATGCGCTCAAAATGAGCGTCGTTGGTCTCAAAATATTCTCTGCGATCCAATGCATCGATTTGATATCACAAAACCTGGTAATCGAACACATTATTTCTCTCAACACTAACAACACTAAGAAAAATAAGTCTTTCGATTATGGGGTTCTGCTATATTAAATCGATGTATTGGATCGTAGGGAATAATTTAAGACCAAGGACGATAATTTTGAGCGCCTAATTATTGAAATATTAGCAATTTTCTGTCCTTAGGAATTTTCACTTACCTGTCGGTATGATTTCGCTACCAGTTTCAGCTATTTTCTACGGATGGCGCCACCGGTCAATAAAATAGTGGTATTCTGTAATTAAATGCGTTTTTGACAGTGTTCTACTAATTTATTGTTATTATCAATATAAGGGGATTAATCAACGTTTCCTAAGCTTCAAATCTAATGGTCAGTCAAGACAATACCTGTCCGTATAACGTAATAAGAGACGTTCAAACGTGAACTAAGCGCCGAGAGCATGACAATACAGTAACAACCGTTGTAAACACTTATGACTTTAAGGACAATCTTCTGGTAATTATTTCTTAATTGATGGAGGGTATTAATCTACTTTCTCTAATCTTCAGATTTTGTAGCCAATTAGTTCGAGATTTCTAATTAAGTGCTACAGAGTGTAGTATCTGTAAAATTGTATGATTTACACCATCTAGCGATACAACTGCTGAATTCTTTGGGTACAAGCTTGAACTGTTTTCCGCAGATGGCGCCACAGAGCACTTTGTAGGACTTGCTTGGGGTCGCATGACCCCACGAATTCTATATCGTGGCGGTTAGGTCTCATTAATTGAAAACGTCGTTATCAATGGATGTAATGCACAATATTGTGACTAAAGCGTAAAGTGAACACAATTTAGATAATAGGTGTTTATTTTAATCTTTAATTATGCATTGTTTTAACATTATTGAAGTTGAATTGGGATGATGGAGGGGGGTTCAGTTCTACCATTCCACCGCTAGATCGTTTACAGTCTTTTTGATATCCGTTGGCGGGGCGTTTTACAAAGTGCTATAAAATGCAACAATCGAGGTATGATATTGCTTGACATAAAAAGATATCGTTACATTAAACATTTGTACAATGACAGAGTCAATCATTAGTCCCTGTTTTCACGTATTTTGCCCATTTGAATACATTGAATAGCGTTATTTTAGATGATAGATCGTGCCACAGTTCGCATTACCAAGATTCGTTAGACAGACTATTGAAATATTCGTTGATACTACTGTAGTAATGAATATTACTGATAAGAATCTTTCCAATGGGCATAGTGAACACGTAAGAGCAACATTTACATTCGTGTATTGTATGAATTTCTAATATTTTGATAAAACGTGTCTTCAGGTTAATTGTTGACCATCGAATGGCGCGATTTTCAAGTAGAAGACATCGTGCATGGGCTGTATATAGAATTACATGTAAGGTTTATTCTCGGTTATACAACGCCCTATCAAACACATTCAATATATATTTATCGAGTTTATTCGACGAAGTCTGAGGGAACGCATCTATACAGGGATATGGTAAATCTGAGTTCTTAATACCTATTGCTGCTATACAAACTTTACGGTGCTTTTCAATTACAGGGATACACGATTCCCGAGATCGTAGGCAATCAGTAAAATATGTCAAGAAATACGACAGTCTACCGACGATGCATCAATCCAGCGATAAGAATGAATTGCGCAAGCGTGTTCAGTCCCCCTCCATCGTGACGAGAGCAGGAGTGGAGGACTGTAATCGTCGGTCAATTCGCGGGATTTCTGCTGTTAAATCCGCGATACAGATGGCGACGTTGCGCCGGTTCATCTGGTTGCCACGCATGCCACCGGGAGAATGGAATCGTCGTCTCGTCGCCGGTTCGTGCACGTCTCTCTCGTGTTCCCTTCGTGTGTACGTGTGCACACGTTAACCCGGGTGTCGTAGTGTGTGTTCCCTCTGCATACACGTAGGCACACGTGCCTCCTCGTCTCGAAAGAGAACTATACACTACACACGAAGAGGGGTCTATCCGAATCCCTCGTTTCTTCTCCCGCGAAAAGAAGAGGGTTTCAAGCGATCGGGTTCACACGCACACGCACACACACTCACTCTAGTCTGTGTACCAGGATTTCGCGAGGTGGACAGTCGCCGTGTGACACCAAAGTGCACGTTCATCGACCACCACTCGCTGGTGCAGTTCAGCCAGCGGTTCTCTCTCGCGAGTGATCGTTACCGTCTGGATCGTCGAGAGAGACAGCTCTCGATGGTGTCCTACCGTGATTCGGAACTCGAGGGAGGGAAGGCCCGATCCGTAGCGATGGGAATGACACTCTCTCGCGACGCCCCAGACATCACACGGGATCCATCAGGTATTTATTCCTCGTAGACACTGTCAGGCTTTGGTTCAAAACTCTGGGACTCTGTGACACACTCGAGAAATATCAATTTTCAATTGACAAATCCAAACTTTTGAACGGAAGTCTGGCCAGCTTTTAGGTACACGATACCATAATTGTCTGTTTCTATAACACTATTTCCTTCCGTTCCACCGCTGGTTCTCGTGTACCCATCGTTTTGTAACGATCAGAACACCGGTGCGCTTGTATACCACCGAGGCGAACGGTTTCACGCGTGTTGTTCGCCGCAGGCCCCGCGTATCTCGCGGTACGTCCCTGGGCTCCCGTCGACGAGGTGGTGGTGGTCTGGTGGTGGGACAAA